AATATACCAGCTAGTTAAGCTTTTTTTTTTTTTTTACTGCTGTCGTAATGTTGTCAATCAAACTTAACTGAACTTCTGCTCTCTATTATATTATCAGACCCAAAGCTGATCATGATGTGGACTTTGTTTTCTCTTGATACTGGTTCTTCTTGTTTGAATTTCTAATTGACTTGAACTCTTCAACTTTGCCTTGCAGATGCAGCTGTTGCATTTCTCAGACTTTATTCTTTATTACTGTAGTCATTATTATTATTACACTGTATGTTAACTGTGGTAAAGAGTAACATGATATCATCCCCTGAAGCAAAGAAACCAAAAGGATTTTTATTGGCATGCTAACTTATCTGTCCCTACACAGCAGCCAGAAGCTCTGTCTGTCCCAGTAGCCTTCGAGCAGTAGTGACTGGTGAAACATATGGTGTCCTGTAACCTTTAAGCCCTGTGGTCTGCTGTGTGCTGTTCAGCCCAGAGTCTGATTGATGAATGAGCCGCTGGCAGTTAAGCAGGCGAGAAGCCAGGTTGGTCTCGGAGCCGAATCACCCACAGCTGATTATTGTCCATCACACAGGTGGGCTGAAAATAAAAGACCTGTGACACTTGACCACCTGTGACACAGCTCTAGGTGAGAGGTTTGTATTGACCCTGAAACTGAAAGCTGTTGATGCCGCTTATGGATTTCACAGGTTGTGTGACAAACCGTTGTGTGATGTGTTTAAAGTACAGCTGTAACACTGCTGCAGAGATAGTATGCAAGTGTGTACCCATACTGCCACTGAAATTCCACAGTAGCCAGCATGCCACTATTTGATCTGTACACTGTTAGCCACACACCTGGTATGTTCACCATAAGAATAAGGCAATCATGTCTCAAGCCTTTGAGTAGTGTTTACATGCCATAGAACTTAATCCAGCAGCAGCTCAGATGTAGTGACTTTGTACTAAATTGTTCTTCGACATCACTGCCTCACCTCAGCTATCTTTTTTTATTTTTTATTTTTTATTTTTTTACTTAACCCTTACTAGGAATTCCTAGATGGCAGCCATATAAATTATTATAATTCAACACAAGATAAAAACAATGGACTCATGAACATTACAAACATTCATAAACACATTTGTCCTTTTTTTTTTTTTAACTTGTACAGTCCAGGTGTTAGTGGCAGCAGACTTAGCTCCTGCAGGGGATCCCGCCCAGGCCAGATCCCTCCAGTGAGTTCTCTGCCTGTTTTGGTGTCACCTCCCAGTTGAACATGCCCCAAATACCTCCATCTCCAGCTGAAGCTTATTTACGCCTAGCATTTATTTTTCCTGCTGTCTGTGGTTTGGCACTCAGGCTGCTGTACATGATTGAGTGTATGGATTTCAGGCAGGTTGCCAAGGAAAAAGCGGACTGTGGTGGTCACACCAAGACAGCATTCATAAAAACATTAAAATTGCCACACTGTTGTCACATCCTTTAATATTTAGTGACATGCTGCTCTTTCTCTGTGCTTGTCATGTTTGCTTTTTAGACTGCAAATTCAACATCCAGATTTACAAGGAAGATTCACGTATTTCTAAAGCGGTAGGGAAGGGCAGGCCGGTCATGCTGTACGCCGATAAAGATGGCAAAAAGATGGTGGCTTGCTGCAGCGACAGGCAGGAAATATATCCTGAAGCAATGGTGAGAATAAAGCAGTAATTTATAGTGTGTGTTATATCTACCAGTTAGAGAAATTAAGGTAGGGGCATCAAAAATCTGTCTGCATCATACTGGTCCCTTCATTTTGGGGCTAGAATAACCACAGCAAAACTGCACTCAAGACATATACTTTGTGCTGTATGTTAAATTTAAAGGCAACTGTAACATATCCATGTACAGTGTGTTTGACAGGAATAGGCATGTCTGCATGTGCAGGGTCAGACTACTTGTTCAGAGGATTGTTAGAAAGTTTTCATTCATAATCCTAATGGAATATGCTTTATCACATATGTTTAACAGTAATGTTGTACATATGACACAGGGTAACCATGTTTTCCTACAGGATCTTCCAAACAAAATTAATGAAACTGCACACAAGGCCCTGTTCTACTTAACGGGAATCTCAGGATCTACAGCCATGTATACG